TTGCACAGCCAGTGGTGTCTCAGAACTGCTTGGTGGCGTGGCCCCCGCCCATGTGGGAACTGGGTCCAGAGACACTTCTAGAAGACTGAGACTTCACCGTCCGTTAGAATGACGACGCAGGCGTGTTTTAGTACGTTGAGGGAGTGCCTCTTTTGGAGAGTTGCGCTCTGCCTTGAGGGTGGCCACGCCCTGGCAGTGACCGGCTCGTCCCGGTGACGTGCGGCACGGGCCCCGCTTGAGTAGAGAGTGGCTGGGCCGTGTTGCTGTCTGTAGAAAAAAGCCCTTTGCGACCAGGGTCACTGCTACGCTGCATGTGACGCGTTTCTCGTCGGTTGTTGTCCCTGACCAGGCGGGCTGGATGATACCCTGCACACCATCATCGGTTATGCCTGCGAGCAGAACATCCCTTTCGTGTTCGCTCTCAACCGCAAGGCTCTGGGGCGCAGTTTGAACAAGGCCGTCCCTGTCAGCGTGGTGGGCATCTTCAGCTACGACGGGGCCCAGGTGAGCCGGGCGTCCCCGGCAGGGCAGCCCCGAGCCCGGGGCCCACAGGGCACGTGCGGCGATTCTGAATCGGCTCTGAGCTCGCCGCTGTTCAGAGACGCCTCACGTGGCCAGCGTCCCCGCCAGCCGTCCCCCTGCTTCCCCAGGGAGGGCGCCGTCCCCGACGGGCAGAGACCCTTAGTCCCCCCCGTGGGGAGGGGGCGTCACCTGTGCCCTCGCTTCCGTCCCAGGACCAGTTCCACAGGATGGTGGAGCTGACGATGGCCGCCCGGCAGGCGTACAAGACCATGCTGGAGAACGCACACCAGGAGCTGGCGGGGGAGCCTGGGCCCCCCGCCCCGGGCAGCCCGCCCCCGCAGGGCCCCCCTGCTCCTGCCGCCGGGAGAGATAAGCCGCGCTACAGTGAGTGCGGGTTGTGGGGGGCCAGGGGCGGAGATGTGCGGGGACGTGGGGGGGGGGGGGGAGCGCCCAGGACAGCAGCACGGCCACCCTGCGGCAGGGCCCGCTGCTGAAGGCCGGCTCGGGTCCCGCCTGGTGTCCCGAGAGCTGGTCCCACACAGACCTCGGGGCAGACGGCACCTGAGTGGAGTGTGGCCGTGAGGACAGCGCTCTCCGGAGGCCAGTGTGTGCTGATGGCCGGCTGGGGGAGTCCGTGCCAGGCCCGAGTGGGGACTGAGCCCCGGGCGGCACGCCTCCCGGAGGAGCCTGTCCCTTAGCTGTGCCGCTGTCTCCCTTCTAGTGGAAATCTGGAGAGAACACCTAGAAGCCTACAGTCGGGGTGCCCTGGAGCTGGAGGACTCTCTGGAGGCTTCAACCTCGCAGATGATGAACCTGAACTTATAGGAAGACTCCTCGGGGTGTGTTGTGTATTTGGGGTGAGGAAGGGGGGTGTGGAAGACTCTGGGGCCTTCTTCACAGTTCTTCTTGGCCTCGTGTATTCTGTGTGGCTGTTCGATTGGGAGGCGAATCCGAGATGTGCATCCCGGGGACGGGCGTTTAGGTGTGCTGGCGGGAACCTTTCCAAAAATTCCGAAGTCGTGGCTTTGGGTCTCTGAGCACGCGGAGTCTGGAAAGGACTGGAACGTGTGTGCTGCTCAGAGTTCTTTGCCGTGAAGGAACCGCCTCCGATGTGGCAGAGCTGAGCCACGTTCGTTTGTGGAAGGAGCCGCGGGGTCACGGCCGGGCCGCTGCTCTTGGCCGCCGACCCAACAGGGCCGCAAAGCAGTAGCCGGGCGGGGCGGGGCGGGGCCGCTTTTGAGGCAGGGGACTTGCTGGGGACCTGGCTTTCTGGCTGGAAGATGTGGGGATACTTGGAGGATTTGCTAAAATGAGCCTCAGAGGGAAAATTGCTTCTTTAATCTGTGACCTCTTGATACGGATTATTCCTTTTTGTCTTTATTTTTCAAAGAAGCGATGTATATTGAAGTTCCTAAATTTCAGTTTTGATAATCTACAAATCCTTTCTTTCTCTCGTAAACGAACATATTGTGACCGTGGTTTCTGTCTGGGAGGCCAGCAGGATGTTGCCCGCGTGCTCTCCTGTAGGAGGGCGTATTTATTTGGAATAAAGAGCCATGATTTGAGAGCCCTGCACCTCTGGCCGGCTCAGGCTCGTGGGGCCCCCGCGGCCTGGCCCACGCCCCTCGGCGCTGTGGCTTGAACGGCAGGGGCCCGAGCGGGGCGGGGTTTGTGTGCCTGCCGGACCCTGCCCGGCCTGCTCCTCTCCTGTCACACAGCAAGCGGCACAGGCGGGGCTTCACTGGTGCTCAGCTCGGCAACGACTCGCGTTGGCTTTGCAAACACTTTTAGGTGAGATCGGTCACGTCACGTGCTGTACCCGAGAGGCGAGTGGCTTGTGGCGGGCCAGAGTGAGTGACGACAGAAGTGGCCTGTGGTGTGGACGTGTCAGACACCAGGCTGTCCTGTCTTCTGGACACTGGCTGCTCCTAGCGTGTGTCTGCTTCTCTGTTTGCGTCCTGAGCTGTTTAAACGGGGGGCTTGGTCGGCTTAGCGACCACTCTTGATTTCGGCTCAGGGCTCAGGTCACCATCTCCTGGTTCATGGGATTGAGCCCTGTGTCGGGCTCTGTGCTGACAGCACGGAGCCTGCTTGGGATGTTCTCTCTCTGCCCCTCCCTCTGCACAGTCTTATTCTCTCAAAATATATGAACTTTAAGTAGATAACTAATTAAAAAAAAATTAAGTGGGGAGACGTGCAGTGAGGCTGCCCAGGCCCTCAGTCCTGTCCCCAGGGTTCTCCCTTGGGGGCCAGGAGGAGTGGCATGGGCAGGGCTTTTCCTGCTGTCCCCGGTCAGCGTGTCCCAAGTTTGCTGTCATGGGTAATGGGTATGGAACTCAGATTATGGAGAGAGACGTTTCCAGAGGTAACCTATAGGGAGGACGTTAAACTGAAGAATTTCGGCGGGGGATGCTGGCCCTGTGTTCAGAGCCCCAGCCCTGGGCCCGTGGAGCGTGGATCTCAGGGGAGGGGGTCTGGTGCTCCTCGTGTGACTCAGTGCTGGGGCTGGCCTGGTCACATCACCTTCCCAGCAGAGGCTCCTGCCACAGGTGACGCGGCGGCCCGCACGGTGCCGCAGGAAGTGCACACACCTCGTCCTGTTTAGTTTTATTTTTCTCACCAGCGCAGAGAAGCACATGCCTCCTAACCACGTTTCCCAGCAGAGCCCTCCCCGGGGGCTGACCGCGTCCCGCTTTCTGTTGGGCACGAGAGTGCTCGGGCTACGGCGCACGTGGGCGAGCCTCACAGACACGGCGAGCGGCACCCGGAGGTCCCGGGCTCGGAGCCCTCGTGGCCTCCCCGGGCGGCCGGAGCCGCACCTGCTCGGGAACCCACGCTGCGCGCCCGCGGCCTTCCACGGCAAATGCTGTCGCCACGGGTAATGGCGTGAGCGGGGCGGATCTGGCCCCAGCCGGCCGTCCTCAGGAAGTCGCGTTCGCGGAGGATCCCGCGCGTAGCGGGCAGGACACGTGTGTGGCCTCGTAACGAGGGGTCTGGCCGCAGGCTGAGGTCGCGAGCGGAGGCGGTGTCCGTGTGGTGGGTCACGGGGAGCCACAGCTCTGCTTTGAACAGAGGCTTTGGTTTTCTGGTACGTGCATTCCGTTAAAAGCCGTCGTTCCGTAAGCGGGAGGTGTCTGTGAGGTCAGGCGGTGTGGCGTTAGGCTCCATGTGGACGCACCCGCCAGGTGGCGCCACTCGGAGGAACCTGGACCGACCTGCCGGCTGCTGCGCCTCCTGCAAGCTCGGGTCCCGCAGAACTTTCTGAGGCGGACCGGCGCCCTGAGACCATGAGGGAGCCGGGGAGGAAGCCCACGAGGCCTTCAGTCCCTGTGGTCCCTGGGTCGGACCTCGTGGTCACCCGAGGTTGGAGGCCAGTTCCTGCCACTGGCCTGGACGCCCTGTCCCTGCCATGTGGCAGTTCAGCAGCCCCGCGGGAAGGTGGCAAGCAGCAGCCGGGCTAACGCGGGGCTCCTGCCCGTGCTGAACCAGGAAATCGCCCCGGTGACGCGGAGTGGCCGCGGAGCGCAACAGCAGTGTTTCTGGAAGAGGACCCGTCACGCACACCACCGTCTACCTATTCCAGGTCTGTCTGTAGCTCAGGAACTGTCCTGGCTTCCTGTTTCTGCCAGACTCTTCTGTCCCACATAAGCACCTAACTTTTTAACACAGGTTCTGGGTTCTGTCACAGAAGCTGGGGTGTGGTCACAGCTCAGTAGGCAATGTGGCAGCCACTGTCCTGGGGTCTCTCCAGTGGCCGCGGGCTCGGCTGGGAGTCAGCACCATGTCCTGGGGCCTAAAGGGCGCCCTCGTCACAGCTTTCCTGAAAGAACAGTGCAGAACTGTGAGTTCCTGGCAGAACACGTGCCCTTCCCGCTCCCCCCACTGTCGTAGACACGGGAGGAGGCCTCAAGTGTCGCGGCCCACGTGTACCTCCGTTGGGTCTAGGAGGGCTTTCAAGGAAGGGGGCCCATGCGGGCTAAGTTTGCAGGACTCACAAACGCTCAGCCTGTGTTGGCGGCAAGGAGAGAGCTCACGTCTGAAGGCCTGTGTTCGAGCCACAGGGTGTCTCCTCCGGTAAATCTCTGGCCTTGTAGCTGCCCTCCCGGCTGCATTAGCGACTCGGGAGCTGGGGACACCTGTCCTATCTCCTCACTGCTGGGACTGCAGTCCCCCCACCAAGAGGGGGTGCAGCCAGCGGGCCCTCCCCCGCATCTGTTCCCCCCCCCCCGCTCCCCCCCGCCATGCTGACCCTCCCCAGGGATCTGCCTGGAGCCCAGAGGCTGCAGGTTACAGAAAGCAGAGTGACTGTGGGCCAAGAGCACACACGTGGGGGCCCAGCAGGACCCACCCCGCCAGCCCCTGCCCACCCTGGGCCCGGCCACACACCCACGCCTTCCTCCAGCTGTGCATCATGCGGTCGTGCTCCCCAGCCACAGCCTTCCAGGCGGCCAGCTCTCTGGTCCACTGCTCCTGGTGGGTCGCCTCTGCAAGACAAGTGGGGCGCCGGCTGTCAGCCTTGCAGGCCTTTGAGGCACGGCGGGTGCGTGCAGGCCGCCGAGGCCATTCTGAGAGCCGGGTCTCTGGTTCGGTTGCGGGTGAGGCGCTCACTCCTCTGGCCTTGCCTCCTGGCTGTGGGGACTTCCACGGTCAGCAGCCCCCTCCTGCCCTTCCCCAGGCCACCAGCCCCAGGGGCACACCGGCCCCGTCCTCATCCTGCGTGAGTCCTGTCCAGGCAGGAAAGGCGCTCTCCCTCCACGTTTTGGGGTGATGCGGGGACCTCCCCCAAGAGGCCGCGGGAGCTTGATCTGTGGGGCTGTGAGGGTGGCACAGGCCAGACAGCTGTGGTGGTTTGGAAACAGAAACGCACCATGTCCCTGCTCTGCCCGTGGCCCGTGTTGCTCGTTTCAGAAGTGAGTGCCGGGGACCTGAGCCTATGAGACGTAAAGCGGAACTTACTCCTTGAGCAGGACTGGGCCGGGGCCCGGGCTCCAGAGGCACCTTCAGGGGTCCTTAACCCCAAGGGACCCTGCAGGGACTCCCGTCCTGAGAGAGTCCCTGCGTTCCTAACACCCCTGCCCTGGCACCCCCGTCAGTAGACACGACAGGCTGGGTGGGCAGGCAGGCACGTCCCGAGATGTCCCAACTGTGCTCACGTCCTAGCCCGCCACCCGAGATCAAGGTCGGGTCACCGTCTGTGAACCGAGGACCAGAGCCTGCCTCCCAGACAGCCGGGGTGACAGGTGAGCATGGGTGGTTTGTGTGTCTCCGCTCCGCTCTTTGCGGACGGTGCTGCCCCCGTGTTTACGTGAAGATTCGGTTTACCTGACGCAGGCAGGCAGGACACTTTCCAGAAAGGGGAAGAACAGGGATTCCCGCCGGGAGAGCTTTGCAATTACTTCTTTCTCTCCCCAGTCCTGTACTGGAAGGACAGGGACCTTTTCAGCAGGGCCCTAAATGTAAACTCTCGCAAGCGGACAGAAGAGGAAACCCCAAAAACCTGGAATCTGAAAAGCAGAGGCACCCGTGGAAACTGAGCAGACCTGAGAAAGCGGGACCCCAGGCCAGCAACGGGGAGGCCAGACGCTCGGGTGGGGGGCCGGGCCCTTTGCACACGCGCTGCCTCACAGGCGGCCAACGGCTCGGGAAACGGGTCCAGAAAGAGCAGGGTCCAGGAAGTAGAGTGGAGCGGAGGAAACAAGTGTCCACACCTCCCCGAGGAAGAGCAGGCTTCCAGCGGCCCCCCGGGCCGGCCGGGCGGGAAACCCCCAGCAGGCCTGGGCGGCCGTGCGCAAAGCATGCGGACGTGACGTGAGGCAGGCCTCCACGTGGCAGGGGAGGGGACTTGGGGACAGAGAAGGGAGACGCGGGCTCTCAGGACCGGCGTCCCAGACGCGCCAAGGAGTAAACAGGTGGCAGGAGGTGGGTGCAGAAGCGCCACCAGTGCCGGGGAGGCTGGCCGGGCACGGGCCACACGCTCCTCCCTTCTGCTGGCCGCCAGGGCACCGGCATGCCCGCCGTCGGAGCTGGGAGCGCGGTAGGGGCGGGGGCCACTCACCGTGTCTCACGACGGTCACCCGCACTTTGGAGGTCCCGTTGCCCGCAGAGGACAGGACGGAGCAGCGGTACTCGGCGCTTTCTCGGATGGCGTCTCGCAGCCAGCTGAGCACATGGGCCCTGCCATCGGGCAGCGCGTGGGTCTGCATGGGGACGCACATCTCCAGTTCTCGGCCGTTCTTCTCCCAGACAAAGCGGACGTCTGCGGGCCCTGGGGACACACACACCATCTCTACCTGGTGGCCCCCGGACTCCCACCGAGGACCCATGGGAACCAGGGTGGGGACAGGCGGTGTGGAGCCACCCACGCCAGGGGCCTCTGTTGTCTCAGCCGGACCTACGGTGAGGGGCAGGACAGCTTTCATGCCAGTCCTTGTGTCCCCGGAGGAGGCGTGTGCCCCCGTGACCCCGGGAGAAGAGGTGGGCCCTCACTGCCCCTTCACCTCAGATGTTCTTTCAAACCAAAACTTGGTGCCGTGCAGCACACGCTGAGGCCGTCAGGGGGCACCTCCCCCATGGAGTGCCCGGTGACCGTGCCCTGGGCCAGGCGTCCATCCTGCACGGAGGGTCTGTGCCTGGGAACTCCACCTCCCGGCCCTGCTCCCATCTGTGACCAGAACCTCTGCTTCCATGGGGGCCGCCCCTGCCTCCCCAGAACCTAAGTTGGGGGCAGGGCACCGAGAAGGGCCGAAGACCCCTCCGTCCCCACCGCCCCCTCCTCTCTGCCTGTGCCAGGCGGCACGGCACCAGGGGGTGGGCTGTGAGCCGACCTAGACCAAAGCCAGCCCCTCCTGACCATGATCTCCCTGAGAGCCCTGTTTCTAAAATCAAGATTCTGGGGCACCTGGTAGCTCAGTTCACCATCAACTCAATTTCAGCTCAGGTCACGATCCCGCAGCTTGTGGGATCGAGCCCCACATTGGGCTCTGTGCTGACAGTGTGGAATCTGCCTGGGATTCTCTCTGCTCCTCCCCTGCTCATGCACACACACACTCTCTCAATCTCTGTCTCAAAAATAAACAAAAAAAAAAATATATATATATATATATTGTATGTAGTTGCCAACCACCCAGGGATGACCTGAACTGCAGTGTCGTGGAGGACGGTCAGCAGAGGAAGGACTAGGTCTGTATGTGGAGCAAGGAGGAATCCGTGGGGCCAAGGGCTAAAACCCAGTACACAAAGCAATAGCACTGGGTGTGCAGGAGCACGTGTGCACGGGAGTGCATGTGCAGGGGAGTGTCGGGGGGTGTGCCTGTGTGTGTGTGTGGGAGTCCTTGCATGTATGGGTGGGCACGCGGGAGCGTGTGCACAGGAGCCCGTGTGCAGGGGAGTGGGGGGAGCCTGTGTGCGGGAGCCTACTTGTGTATGGCTGTGCATGTAGGAGCACGTGCACGTTCCCGCGGGGGCCCGCCAAGAAGGCCTATGTGGCCGTCGTGCTGGTGGTGCTGCCCTCAGAGAATCTGAGGTGCTTAAACCACTTCCTGGAGCTTCCGGATGCGGTAGGACGCATCCTTTTACAGCCGACATAAAACACGCTGTTGGAAAGAATGTGCCGCAGGCTCTAAAACAAATTCCAGAAGGCGTTCAAAAGGGTCTCACGCAGCAGTGCACTGGCCCCCCTGGCCTCGTGGACAGGCCCCCGTGGACTGTGTCCTGGGCAGGATTTCTGGGTTTTTCTTCCATCTGCACCATTTGTTTTTCTCCAAGTGTTCTGCCCTCTACCTGTGAATAGTTCCATGTTGTGTATCACACGTATGCACACACACCTGAGGGCACTTACAGGTGCGTGCACAGACTTGCATACACACGTGTCTGCGTGCACCTGCCCATCAGTTGGCACACACAGCCTCCTTCACTGCTGGGCGTACCGCCCGCCACCACATTCCTGGACAGCCCCTCGGTGGGGTCAAGTTTAAAAGAGGGGTTCTCGTGAGGCACTGTGATCGAGAACGTGAAGTTTTCTGTGAATAGACACCGAAGTCGGTTCCAGAGAGGCCTGGACTCCCCCTCATCCCCACTGTCCAATGGTGACCTTCACGGAGACCCGCCCAGGACTGGAGCCACCAGCATGGGTCACAGGAGCTTCTGGAAGGTTCTCCTGCATCCTTAGGACAAAGAGCTGGGGTGGCTTGAGCCAGGGCCGAATTGTCACCCCAAGCCATATGGCCACGACCCTTCAGGAGCAAAATCTCCAGGTGACCCAAGGTGCCTTGGAGAATGGCCCGTAGGGGAAACACCACGTGCCCTTGTATCCCGAAACCCTTAAACTCAGCATTGGTAAATACCCTTTCAGCGTGTGTTCAGCACAGTGAAGCACTAAAAGTGTTTAAGAGTACTTACGTTGCACTTACTGATTTTTAAAGCCATCCAGCTCCTGAACGCAGACGAGGACAAGGAGGGAAAGCGACAGTTACGACCAGGCGGCAGAGCCAGCACGTGCCCCCAGGCAGGGCGATCCCTCTGCCCCCGGGTCTGCAGCCACGAGGGATGAGGGACACGGCGGGGCCGCTGGCTCCACCCTGCCCCCAGCCCGCCCCACGCCAGCTGAGGGGGCCGCCAGCGCAGAGCTGACCCTGCTCCGTGACAAAACCAGAGCCCCTCGGGGCTGGGAGAGCCCCAAGTTGAGGGGGTGTGTGGGATGGGTGCAGCCCCTGTCCTTGGGCCACATCCCCGGTGGGGGCCCCAGGGGCGATCCTTCCTCCAGCTGTCCCCACGCATGTGGTCACCCAGGGGCCTCCTGCCAGCTACTTCCCACTGGAGGGGACCCTCTGCGGGCGCTGTCTTGCGGGCCGGGTCCACACCTGCACAGAAATCAGGATCCAAACGTGGGAGTGGGGGGGAGGGGGGGCTTCCTGGACCTCCGGCACCGCAGTTCTGTCGGAGTCCCGCCTTCTTCCTCAGAGTGCCCCGTGCTTCGCTGTCACAAGGCTATCCACACCCTGGGGCCAGCTGAAGAGTGACCCCCAGAATATCCAGGTCCCAACCTCTGGAACTGCATGTGGCAAAAGGCACTTTACAGACAAACCTGTGGGGGGCAGGGGTCAGCAGCCCAGGCGCCCAGCCTCTTAGGTGCCAGCCACGGTGGCCGTCCCACACACGAGGACAGCTGCGCACAGGCACGCGCGTCGTCACGTCGGAAGACACACAGCTTCTAGCAAAACCACGCCCTCCATGCTGAGGACGGAGACCCCGGCAAGGTCACAGATCTGCCTCGCCCACCCACGGACGGGCTTCCGACCCTTCTGGAAGATGACCAGCTCACGTCAACTACCCCCAGGGCCCAGCCGCGCCCCCAAACACTAGCACCCACGGCCACCGTGGGAGATCAGGGATTTGGGCCGGGCACCCTCTGCTACCCCTGCAGCCCCCAGAGCCTGAAAGGGCGCTCGTTTCTACCACCGTAGTTAAAAAGCCACCAATACCCCGAACAGCCACGCAGCCCCTGAAGTACAGGGGATCGTCCTCAGCTTTAAAAGAGACACGCGTCTGACTTAGAAGCTCGGTCACGTCAGGGATGCAGCAGGGCCCGCGGGGCAGACACGACAGATTCTGCTTGTGTAAGAATCACGGGCTCCGTCCTCAGACGCGATTTACACCCGTGTCTCCGAGTGCCGCTAAGCCTGCTCGCCTGCAGTGCGGGTGACTTCTGTGCTTATCTGAACTAATTCCGCCACGAGGAACACGCATTCGTGACTTCTGGAACGCCAAACACGACCACAAGCCTGCCCGAGTCTCTGCGGCTCGAGACCCCCTCCTCCCCTTGCCCGTGTTTTGCCACCTCCCGACGCGCGCGCACGGCTCCCCTGAGGGAGCGGGCGGCTGGGAGACCCGCTCCGGACCCCGGGTTGCTCCTCCCCACGCTCAGGCCAGGGCCCTACGAACAGAGACGTGGCCATAAGGCACAGCCCGCAGCCCGCCGCAGCACGCACGCACGCACGCACACACGCGCTCTGCTGGGACAGTCCAGGGAGGACCGGGGACACGGTGAGCAGAGAAGCCCGCTGAGTCACGGCTCCGAGGCCGTGCCCGTCCCAACAGTCCACCTGGCATTGCTCGGGCCGCAGCCCCTGCCACTGTGACACCAGTGACCCCCCAGGCGGGAGGGAGACCGCTTGCAGACTGCTTGGGGACCGCCTGGACAGTACCCTTGAGAGGGAGGTGCCTTCAGCCAGAGCGGCCTGAAACTTGGTCCCGAGTTCCGGCACCGTCCTTGACCCGAGGGAAGAGAGGGCCAGAGACGCCATCATTTTGGACACCACGTGCTTGGACCACCCCTCGCACAACCAGCTAGCGCTGGCCTGTGGGCTGGGGTTAGGGGAACAGGTGTCTGGATGTGCACATGTCACCGGGGGACCCGATGCCAGTGAGCTTGGCGGGCCAAGCAGAAAGAAGCGAGCGCTCGGGAGGCTGGGGTGGCCACTGCAGGGTCTCTAGCACCCGCCTCTGTCACCGCTGCCTAGCAGGCCTCACGAGGATGCACGGCCCTCCCTCTGGGTGGGACAGGACACATCGGGACCCCTGGGAATAGCCGGTCCTTCCCAGGCTGCCTCACGGCCTCAGGGGGAGCCTCGTGGAACGGGAGGCCCAGGTGGGAGAGAAAGCAAGGAGCACGGGGGCGTGGGGGGAGGGGGCAGGGGCTGCGGTCCCTCCGCTCAGTCCGCCCCGTCACTGCCCTCTCCCCCCACGCTGCCCACCTCTCATCCCCTCGGGCTGTGAGCTGCCAACTGTGGGCCCCATCCTCGGGAAGTCGGGAGGAAGAAATGCCCCTCCGGCTCTCAGACTTCAGCAGCAGAAGGGCAGGGAGGGGGGAGTGGCCCCAGGTGACCTGCCCCACGGCCAGCGGTGCCCCCTGCCCTGGCTGCCTGGGAACCGCGCCCCTCCGCTCCCCCGCTGCCGCCAGCCCCGTCACCACGGCCCCGCGCGGGGTCCCCGTGGTCCCCGCTCTGGCCCAGACACCGCTCTCAGCCCCCGAGTCACAAGGACGGCTCACGAGTGCACACGCGCCCGCTAACGGGCACCTCCTAGAGAAGCCACGTTCCAAAGCGTTTGGCTCGGGGCCCCTCACCTGATCGTGCGACCCCTGCTCTCCCAGCGACGGGGAGGCCCCCGAGTGTGCCCGTGGAGGACGGCGGCCCCTGCACGGAGGGCCTGGGCGGCCCCACGGGAAATCGCCCGGCCCAACAGCCCTGTGGGGGACCCAGCACAGGCTGGGCCCCGGCCCGGGGCCACATGGACCCGCCCTGAAGGTCTGTCTCCACAGCGCCCCACCCAACGGGCAACTTCCCCCGCGCTCCCCCCCGGCACGTGGGAGTTCGTGGGAGCGGCTCATACCCGGAGCGGCTTCTCGCCGCCGAAAGTCTCAAAAAGAAACAAGTCTGCTCTTTTTCTCTCAGTGGCCCTACTCGTCCCCTCGGGGCAGCCACACACCGCCCGTCTTCTCCCTGCAGCTACTGACCAGCGGCATGGCCGCGGCACAGCGGAGACGCCTCCGGGTCCCTCCCAGCCCGCCGTGCACGTCGGCATCGCCACGCGAGCCGTGGGGACGCCCCTTCTGGAGGCTCCGGGGCGACATCTGCAACCTCCGAATGACACGTGGGCGGATCCCCGAGTTGTCGGCAGACGCTCGAGGAGCCCTGCACACGGGCGACCGGCAAACCGAGGTCTCGGGGCCAAGCCCGGCCCACCGTGGGGCCCTGGGGCTGCGGAGGCCGAGATCCGCGACAGGCCGACCGACCGTGGGCTGCCGGGCCTGCGACGGTGAACGTCTGGCTCCTCGTGGGAGAAGCCGCAGGAAGAGTGTTCTGTCAGGGGCCCTGCCCGCCACC